TCTTAACCATCGCGCCACTCGGCCGGCCCTGTAATATTATTTTTTAACATGATATTTTTGTTACTTGATTTCCAAGAGAAATATATTCAGCCCCATTCAGTTTGACATTTCGTTACATATTCTATTGCATCATGCTCAAATTCTTTTATGGATTGATCTGGAATTCCCAAAATTGTAACTAGTACCTGCCTAATAGATGATCATTGTTTCAATGTCTATTTATATTGTCCTGGGGAATACTTACCTAGAATCCTGTCAAGGGACTTAACAGCTAAAAAAAGCAACAGCTGTCTAACGGAGGTTACAATTTTCAATGTTAAAAATGACAATATAAAAATAAGTATTTAGCATGTACCAGGGGAGTTAGACAATTTTATTTGCATAAATTAGTTCATGTTTACTACTACTGTTTAAGGGATTATCCATATTTTATTGATGAGTAAATTAAACCTCAAAATCAATAAACAACTTGTGCATCCATGATCACATAGTCAAGAAGTGGCAGGACTGGAAAACCCACCCAATTTACTTTCCTCCAAATCCTGTACTCTTTCTTTCTTTCTTTTTTTTTTTTTTTTTGTGGAGCCATCCTGCCCCCTGTTGGCAGCTCAGCGGCTGCTCAGCTCGGGCCAGGACTCGAACCGCTGTTGCTCAGAGCTCAAACTCTTGAGCGAGCTCTTAACCAATTGAGCCACTCAGCCGACCCCCCTGTGCTCTTTCTACTGTAGCATATATTTGACCCTTGAACAACATGAGTTTGAACTGTGTGGGTCCCCTTATACGCAGATTTTTTTTCAATAAATACAGTCAGTCCTTCACATCCTCAGATTTCACATTCTTGGATTTCACATAGTGGATTAACCACCACCAATCGAAAACAGTATTTTTTTCTTTCCCCACTGCAGATTCCCAACCAGGGATCTAAAATACTGTAACAATTTGAGGTTCATCGCATCTGATGGGAAAGGCCAACTGTAGTTAATTTTGGCGAGAGTCAATTGCTATACACAGATTTTTAGCTGCAGGGATTCGGGACCTCTAGCCCCAGTGTTGTTCCAGTGTCACCTGTACTACCTGTAAGGCTTTCAGCTGGCATTGAAGGTTCTAGTAACAGCTATGCTCCTAACTGTCATGTCTTGGGTAAGACGTTTACTAGCTCCGAGTTTGTTGTTTTTAATATTTGTTTCCTGCTTTTGCTTTATTATTTATTCTTAATTTCCTGCATGTGCAGTGGGAGTGGTGTAGGTAGGCTAAATGATTTTTAAGCTCTCCTCAGCGCTTTATCAACACATAACTCTTCCTGGGTCATGAGTCCTCATTGTTAGTTCAAAAATATTTGCGAGGTTGGTAATGATGAAGTTTGCTCTTGTAAGGCATTTTTATGTTTATGTGTTTCAGCAAAGAAAAGGAAATATGGAGTGTCCATAATTTTGCCTTTTAATATCTGGATTCTATTTTACCACACGGAGTACTGCACTAGCATTTTCTCCTTTTCATTTTCTGTCATAATTATTGATCTGTGATGTAATTGCTCTTGAAACTGATGAACTCAGCACCTCCAGGTTGGTGGAGGGAGATGGTTACCTGCTAGGCAACCTCAACTATTTTCACCTCACCTGTTGGGCCCTACCTTTGAGAACCTTGTTTGTGGAAAACCTAAGGGAAAAACTACTGTTCTTCTAATTTTTGCATCTTAAGGCTTCAGGAAATACAGAGATTTGGGACATATACATATGATATTGCAAAAAGGATTATCAGGAGAAAAATTTGATAGAATTTTTGAATTTTGTTTACATGGTTTAGGTGATTTCTTTAAAAAAAATAAAATAAAAAATCCTTTCCTGTGACTGCATAACAAATCACCACAAACTCAGCAACTTAAAGAAAAGTACATTGATTATCTCACAGTTTCCGTAAGTTAGAAGTCCAGGCATGGTTTAGCTGGTCTCTGCTCAGTTTCATGGGTTGCAATCAAGGTGACAGCTTAGGCCTGTCACAGTCCATGTCTCAGTTAAGGCTTGGGGTCCTCTTCCAAGTTCCTGCAGTTGTTGACAGAATTCATTTCCTTGCAGCTCCAGAACTCACGGTGGTTTGCTTAGTCAAAGCCAGGAACAGAAAAAGAGAGGGTCGCCATCATTTCCAATTTCTGAGCTCATGTAAGTATTAAAGCCTCTTTCAAAGGTCTGGCCCACACAGGATAATCTCCCTTTTGATCAACTAAATTCACCTGACGGGGGGTTTTTAATTACATCCAAAAAGTCCCTTCATTTTGTCATATACTGCAGCATAATCGCAGGAGTGGTATCTCTTCATATTCACAAGCCTCACCCATATTCAAGGGGAGGGACTTGACTCAAAGATGTGGGTCATTGAAGACCATTTTAAAATTCTGCCTACCGCAGATATATGTTAATGCTCAGACAGTATTTTACTAAGATCTTAAAAACTGGGCTGAGAGAGTAACACATATAGTTCTTTTGTGTCTAAATTCTGATTGATATTTAGATTGTTTTATAATCAGGAATTAGTAATTAACTGTAATCTATGTAAATAATATTATAGTTAATTATTTTCTTGGAAGCAAACCATTCTTATAAAAATCTTTATTTCTGGAGAAATAACTGTATAATAAATATTGAAGAATGTTATGGGGAAGGTTTAGTGTTAGATGATCTGATTTTATGGCTGTGTGTAGTAGTAGGTAAGTATTGACTGATTCAGGCATAGGGAAGAGATGAAGGCTGAAAATTTGCTGTTAGATTTGGTTGATGAAAATAGCAAAATTGTCTACTTGATTAACCATCAAATATATATCTCGACCATGAATATCAGATTAATATTTCCTCTGGGGGATACGAGGATACAGTTTTCTGCCACTGTGCATTTCCTACTCCTCTGAAATCATCTCACCACAAAAGGGGAAAGCCAGCTTAGAAATATGAAACAGTTTATTAACTCGTCAGCACTCAAGGGCCATCAGGAAGTTGTTGGAGCAATTCTGTTTATTAATTTGTTGCCTGGAACCCAAGGAGTTGATGAATAAACAAGCATGACAATGGCAGTAAAAATGAGAAATGGTACAAACCTTATGCTCCCAGGGCTTTCTCCAGAGACATTTATGAGAGATTATTATGTGAACATTAGAGCACATATTGTTTTGGGTTCTTATTCATTTTCATCCTTAGATAAACTTACTTCTGAATTAGTTCTGTTGTGTAGTTATTTATAAATCTTACAAAAATCCAGACCACTTCCTTATAGAGGAATGGTTATATGGCCTTGAGAAAGAAATTGCCAAAACCTAAACAACCTCAGAATGTGCCTGAATGTATATTTTCCATGGCAGAAAGGATCTATTCAGGAAACATGTTTAGACAACCAAGACAGATGGGAAGAGTGTAACAGTAGTTACCCACCAACTTCCTTTCTAACTTTACGTCCCATCAGGACCCTCTGAAGTTGAACCATAAATGTGAATCAATATTTCTCTTAGGCAGATTGCATAATTATTTGTTCTACTAGCTAAAAAGAATTTCAAAGGCTACGATATCTTTTAAATGTAGTACATTTATTAGGGGGTCTTAAATTTTAGTGTGCGTAAGAGTTACCTGATTACACCTGATTCTTCTCTGGATGAGGTTCAACCTTCTTTGAAATAGCTTAGACTTCAATCATGAAAAAAAAAATCTAGTGGAAATATAATTAAGAAAGCAGAAATCAGATAGGTTAAAAGACAATTTTGAATGTAGCATTGCCATAGATTCTAGCTACATTTAGGATGTTAGAACAGAAAATTTCTTTGTAAGTTATTATGAAAACACAGATGCACATGCATTCATATACACATGAACAAATAATCATTAGACTGTAAATTACAGGACTTTAAATATAAGCACAATTTTGGAATTTCTAATGAGAAAAAAACAAAACTATGTTGTATTTTCAGAGCAGTGCCACCTGATAAAACTGTAACATAAGAGCCGGCTGAGTGGCGCGATGGTTAAGACCTGGCTTGGGACGCCAGAGAGCCCCGATTTGGATCCCACATATGAGGGCCAGTGACACTGCCCTCCACAGCTAAGATGCTGAACAACAGCTCAATCTGGTGCTGGGCTGCCCTCAGTTGCCGGCTCCGGCGACTGCGTAGGCTGCAGTCCCTGCTGCAGTGGGTTGCCATGGGCTACCGTGTGTAGCCAGCAGCCAGCGTGAGTGGCCACCAGCCACAGTGAGTGGCCGTTTAGAAGCCGGCGACTGATCTGCCTCACCAGGGAAGAGCGCAATGATGGTGCCAACTTGAGGCCAGTGAAGCAACGTCCTCCACAACTAGACTGAAGAACAAAATGACAGCAACTTGTCTGTTCCCCTTCCCCCAATTCCCCAGCACTGTTCCCATCCCCCCAATTCCCCAATAAAAATCTTAAAAAAAGTAACATAAGCCATAATGAAATTTAAAATTTAATAATCACATTAAAACTATCAAAAAGAAAAAGTAAAATTACTTTAGAATTACATTGTATGCCATTTTTGAAGAAACTAAATACATTTTGAAAATTAAATAAATGAATTGTAACGTAAAACAGAGTCTGCTGGATTCCAAATATTTTGTCAAGATTTCCAGGGGAAGCCATGTATTCATGCTGCATAGGAAGCAGCATGGTCCTCTAGCACAGCTTTATGGACTGGCTGGTGGCTTCCTTGGCATTCTTGATGAGGCTCTGCAACCATCTCTATGCCATTTTTAGTGTCACTCAAGTGAAAAGCAATTTGATTGCAAATGGGTGTCCATGATTCTAGGCATCTATATTGTGGCAGTCCATCTGGCATTTGTGTTGATCCACTGTTGTTTTCTCTAGCCATGGAGAATCAATCCCTATGGCACATCTCTAATCAGCAACCTCATAAGCCTCTTTTCTTTGTACCTTTTCTTTGTACTTTTGATCACTTAGAATGCTGATGATCTATCATCCCTTTGAGGTATCTTTAAGGACCAGGGGTTTTGTAGTGACTCATTACCCCTGTTGCAAATCTTCTGGTGACTACAAGAAAGCTCCCTGCTTTGGGAAATACCCAAAGTGATTTCCTGGTATTCTACCAGCCTGGATCTTAAACCAGACCATCCTAAACATATTTAGGTTGAGGAAAATTCATCTTGCCATTTAAAAATAATATCATAAATGGGTAAATGGAAACATCTTTTTGTATACAAACAACAAAATTAATTTTTAAAAAATAGATTGAAGCATCACATAAGCTTCTCTTGAATTATCAAAATTCTTTACCCAGCGATAATGTGACTAATAGATTAAATTTTACTTTCCTTTTAAGCTTTAAATCCAAATGCTGTTACAATGGTTTGGAAAGTTGACAATTATAAATATGACACATTATCAACACTCTTGATGTAGACTTCATTGTTCATAATCTAATGTAGAGTAACTAGAAACTACATAAAGGTCAAAGGGTCCATTCAACCACTAATTATTTTAATGCTTGGCTCTTCATTGGTTTCCTTTTTCATTTGCTCACTCTTATTTCTTGCTACTTACCGTTTTCTATATAGAGCCCCTACCTCTTCAAATTTAGTTCCAGCTACTCTTATGGTTGTTTTACAGTTTTTAGGTTTGGGGATACATAGAAACTAGTTCACAGATTATGTGGAATATGAGTTTTGAAAATTGTGGGCTCAGGAATATGAAACATGCATTTTGCTTCATATTTGGTTTGATTTTTTTTAAAGCTGAAGTTGAATCCTCCTTGAAAGTGATATTTTGTTGACAGCAATTTTAAATCATGTGAAGGGTGACACTAGCTCAAAGTGTTGTCAGCCAAGTGACTATGTCAGGAGGAGGGAAGGTAAGAATCTTTTCACCTGAGTATCACTTTTTATCTTCACTGAATCTGAATCGAAAAATATAAAGCATGAATAATAAACATGCGAATGCAATTTTGAAAAATATGTGATCTGTTCATTTTACTTTATAATTCAAAATAAAATTGCCCAAGGTGAAGTTACGACTCAAAGTCTATCACTTCAATTTATTCTTTGTGAAACGTTCCAGCTTGCTTTTGTATATTTTGCATGCATGCTTTCTAGTAATGCAACAGAAATTACTTCAATCAAGTAAATTAGGGAAATATGCCAGCACGGTATAGCTAGGTTCTCTGCTCAAATTATTACAAGGCTGAAATTAAGGTATCGTTCAAGCTAAGATTTTGTCTTGAAACTCTGGAGAAAAATCCACTTTGGCGTTCATTCTTGTCAGAATTTAGTTCCTTGCAATTGTAAGATTGAGGTGCCTGTTTCCTTGCTGACTGTAAGCTGGGGGCTACTCTCAGTCCCCAGAGGCTTCCTTCATTTGTTGCTGTATTGGCCCCCTCCATTGTCAAACCAGCGATGGCATGTCAGATCCTTCCTGCGTGTTTTGAATCTTTCACTTCCTCTGTCTGTAACCTCTAAATCCAGATGTAAGGATTTATGTGATTAGGTTAGGCCCCTGCCTGATAATCTCATTTTAAAATCAGCTGATTTGGGACATTAATACATATATTGCATCCATTTTGCCATATAAGGTGTATAATCATGAGAGTGATAGCTCATCACATTCACATGTTCCACCCACACTCAAGGGAGGGAATTACAGAAGAGAGTGCCTCATTTGGGGTCATCTTAGAATTCTGCCAACCACAATCATTTTGTGTGTGTTTTAGATTTACAGGACAACTGTTATGTGTGAAAGACTATGAAAACAGAAGTGTGTTACTTGAGTCACAGGATTTCAGAATGGACATGAAAAGGCTTGCTGCCATTTTTTGTCATTTAAGAAGCTCCATCAATACACACAATAATGAAGGTGCCAATTATACCTTATTTCAAATTAATCAATTTACCAATTTGGACATTTCATTCCCAATAGTTTGTGTTGTTTTTAGAACAAGTAATATTCTTTCAAGTATTTCTTTTCATAGATCCTAACTAGTGTTATCGATATCTGTAGATTTACCAACAAATAATAAAAACTTAATTTTTTTTCCAATTACAGTTGACATTTAATATTGTATTAGTTTCAGGTATACAGCATAGTGGTTAGACATTTATATAACTTATGAAGTGACCCCCCCCCATAAGTCTAGTATCCACCTGACTCCATATTTAGTT